GACATTCATATAAATTACAAAGAAATGTGCCTGTTTATTACTTGATTCATCTCTTCAAAAAATGTTATCGAGTTAGTCAGGTGTGGTCCACCCTTTACAAATACACAATCCTCTCTGACTGAAATGTCTCGGTGGTCAGACATTCTATCCCTCATTTTTGTACTGTAGCAGTATCCTGACAGCAAATGTTAGACTAACTGGTCTTTCAATCCGCTTTTTCTTTCTCACCTTACCTAAGTGTTGGAGTAACATCTGCAATTTTCCAATTTTAAGGAATTGATCCCAACTTGAGGGAAATTTGGAATATTTTAGTCAGGGCATCTGTAAAAGTCTTCATAATCTTTCAAAGCCAGGGATGGAGACCATCTGCTCCTAGGAATTTGTCTGTGTTCAGGGCCGTTATTTTCTGTATCCCTGTTATTTTGCTTAATTTTAAATTTGATAGATCCTTGCTTCTGATTCAATACTAATTTCCTTGTTCGGTATCAAATGGGTTTTAAAATGCTCAGTGTCCTGAGAGTCTAAAATGTGCTCTATAAATATGATTTCTCTTTGTTATCTGTAACATTAGGAATCTAAATGCCCTTCCTTTTAGTTCAGCACTGGCCAACCCTTATGTTTCCGAGTAACTTTCAGTTTTTTGTTACTATTGGAAAGATATTTTAAAAACTGTTCTGGCTGTACTTTTTGGTTGAATCAGGAACAGGATTCAGATTCCATGGAAAAGATATTTGCATGGATTGTAGGAGTGTTGGTAACTCTGAGATATTCTAAATCTTGAGTTCTGCAGAAATATTAAATCATTTCTGAGATCACTGTCTTTACAATACACATGCATGTGTTAGCAATCTGATGTCATTCAAATACTGGTTACAGTAAGCTGCAGTTGCCCTGGTGGATAGATGAGTTCTACTGTGGATTATTCATACTTTCCTAGTCTGACAAAGCAAATCTTTTTGTGCAGGTAGAGAAAATAATATTGGTAAGTTGAATGTTGAACTTGATCTTACAGAGAACTGGAAGTGAGTTGTAGCCAACTAAATGATTTTTACTAAAAATTGTTATGTTTTCTCAGATATAGAAAGACATCAAGTTTTGTTTTCAATGTCATGTCTTAATTTATTTAAATTATTTGTGAGAGGTATGAATCGCTTTATATTCCATGAATAGTCAGATAAAATGGATTCCTGAAAGTATCTCTGGCCTGTATAGATAAATGTGCTGCACAAGTACATTACTGACCATCTTTGTACAAAACAGTGACGGAAATAGCAAGCCTCAAACCCTGTCAGTCCCCGTCCCGTCATTCATTTAGATCATAGCTCACCTGCATCTTAACTTTTACCTTCCTTGATTCCAGATCTTTAATACTCTCAATCTCAATATATTTAATCGTTCAGTCTCAACAGATTTATGAGGACAGAGTTCCAGATTTTGACAGTTGTTGTGTGAAGTGTTTCCTGAAATCACCGCTGAATGCACTGGCTCTAATTTTAAGATTGTGCCCTTTTGCTTTGAAATCCCCCACCAGAGGAAGTACAGGGGTAGTTTATCTCTACGCATCCTTTCAAAGTCTTTCATCGACTTAAACACTTTGATGAAACCTAAATGGGGTTGGGATCCAACCAGAGTCCGTAGCTACAACTGGAATCTCACTTCCGGTTCTCTGTGAGATCAAGTTCAGCATTCTTCTCGTTCTTACCAATATTATTTTCTCTATCTGCCCAGCAGCTTCTACTAAAGCACTCTGCTCACAGTAAACTCCATCTGCCACAATTTTACCAACGGAATCATTTTATCAATGGCCATTTGCAAATTTCTAGTTTTCATCTATACTATTGTGCCACTTCATGTCATTTGACATACTTAAGCTCTCTATTCCTGGATCCAAGTTTTTTGTAAAGCCAAGATGCTACCACTGCTCACGCCCTGCCCATTGGTGCGTGTTTGTATTATGCCCAGTCTGTATCTTACTTTCTAACCAATTCCTACCAGTGTCAATAGATTAACTTCTCCATTCACTCTTATTTTAGTTGACACTGTGTTTGCAGAATCTTTCAAATCTCTTCTGGAAGTTCAGAACATCAATAGCTCTTGTATGTACCATGAAAATGGGTATATGTAACTGGGTTTATTAAACATGACTTTCTTTTTACATATCTGTGCTGATTCTGATTAACTAATATTTATCCAAATGTTAAGTCACTATGTTCCTGAGTAACTAATTCTAGTAAGTTCACCACAGTAGATAGTACAAAAAAATTAGCCTGACAATATCCTGGTTCTTCTATGCTTAAATACCTGGGCTTATAATATAAAATCCTTATGTGACAGTCATATTTCATTTTACAATGCTTCTGTGAAGCACTTGAGGATGTTTTATGTTCAAGGTGCTGAACAATTCTAAGTTATTGTTGAGGTGATCGCTGTTGAATTTTGGAAATTTGTCTATCTTCATTATTTTCACCATGATCACTCGTTCATTTGTATTAAATCTGGGAAGTTTCCTGTCTTGCTTTGCATGTAACCTGGACACTTTATCCTCATGCTCTGCTGTGAAGGCTGACACCAAGTGAGTATTTTGTTTTTTATTCTTTTGTGGGATGTGGACATTTGTTGCCCATCCTAATGTCTTTGAACTAGAAGACTTGCTTTCATTTCACAGGGCAGTTAAGAATTAGCCACATTGATGTGGGTCTGGAGTTGCACGTAGACTAGACCAAGTAAGGGCGGCAGATTTTCTTCATTTACGAACCAGAAGGGTTTTTACCACAATGGATTAGTAGTTGTCATAGTCACCATTACTGAAACTAATCTTGACACCAAGTTTATAATGTGCAGAGAGACCAAAGACCAAATTCCCTAACCCTGAGCCACTCTCTCTCATAGAGTCATACAGTAATACAGAATGAAAACAGGCCCTTTGGCCCAAACTGGTCCATGCTGACCATGGTGCCCCCTCAGCTAGTTCCAATTGTCCGCATTTGGTCCCTATCCCTCTTAACCTTTCCAATCCATGTACCTGTCCAAATGTTTTTTAAATATTACTATTGACCTGCCTCAACCACTTTCTCTGCCAGCCCGTACCATATATGCAGCACTCTGTGTGTGAAGAAGTTGCCCCTCAAGTCCTTTTTAAATCTATCCCCTCTTACCTTAAAACTATGGCTTCCAGTTTTCAACTCCCCATCCCTGGAAAAAAAACTGTGTGCATTTATTCCATCTATGCCCCTCATGATTTTACACACCTCAATAAGGGCACCCCTCATTCTCCCACATTCCAAGGAATAAAGTCCTATCCTGGCCAACCTCTCTCTATAACTCAGGCCTACTAGTCCTGGCAACATCATTGCAACATCTTCTTTGCACACTTTCCAGTTTAACCATGTCTTGGTTGAAGGCCAACATGCTGAATGCCTTCTTCACCATCCTGTCCACGTGTGATGCCGCTTTCAACAAACTATGTGCTTGTACTCCTATGTCCCTCTGTTCCACAACACTCCTCAGGACCTTACCATTTAGTGTATAAGTCCAACCTTGGTTGGACTTTCCAAAGTGCAACACCTCACACTTATCTATATTGAATTACATTTGCCAGTCCTCAGCCAACTTCCCCATCTGGTCAAGATCCCTCTATAATTTTTGATAACCTTCTTCGCTATCAATGATACCTCCTAATTTTGTATCATCTGCAACCTTACTAATCGTGTCTCGTACATTCACATCCAGATCATTTATGTAAATAACAAAGGTCCCAGCACCAACCCCTGTGGCACACGACTAGCCACAGGCCTCCAGTCTGAGAAACAACCTTCAACCATCACCCTCTACTTCCTACCATTGAGCCAATTTTGAATCCAATTAGCTAACTCTCCCTGGATCCCATGTGACCTAACCGTCATGACTAGCCTGCCGTGCGGGATCTTGTCAAAGGCCTTATTAAAGTCCATATAGACAACACCACCCTCATCTATCCTCTTGGTTACCTCTTCAAAAAACTCTAAAAGATTTGTCAGACATAACTTCCCGTGCACAAATCCATGCTGACTATCCCTAATCAGACCTTGACTATCCAAATGTTGGTTGATCCTGTCCAATAGCTTGCCTACCACTGATGTCAGGCTCACTGGCCTGTAGGTCCCTGGTTGTCTTTGCTACCTTTCTTAAACAATGGAACAACATTAGCCACCCTCCAGTCTTCTGGAACTTCACCAGTGGCTAAAGATGAAGGAAAAATCTCTGCAAGTGCCTCTGCAATTTCTTCCCTAGCCTCCCACAATGTCTGAGGATGGAGTTGATCAGGCTCAGGGGATTTATCCACCTTAATGTGCTTTAAGGCTTCAAACACCTCCTCTCTGGTAATGTGTATGCGGTCCAAAACATCCCCACTTGTTTACCTTATTTTCTTAGCATCCTTGATTTTCTCCTCCGTAAACACGGAGGAGAAATATTCATTAAAAATCTCCCTCATCTCCTGTGGCTCCACACATAGATGGCCATACCGATCTTTATGAGGCCCTATTCTCTCCCTAGCCACCTTCTTACTCTGAACATAGCTATACAATCTCTTGGTATTATCTTTAACCTTATCTGCCAGATCCATCCCATAGCGTCATTTTGCTCTTCTGATTTCCCTTTTGAGTGTGCTCCTACACTTTTTGTAGTCATCTAGGGATTGACTTGAGCCCGATAGCTTAAACCCAACGTATGCCTTCTTCTTTTTCCTGACTAGAGCCTCAATATCCCTCGTCAGCCAGTGATCCCTAAACCTGCCAAATTTTCACTTCACCCACACAGGGACATGCTGTCTCAGGACTCTTAATTCCACTGTTTTAAAAGCCTCCCATTTGCCAGTCCTTCCTTTTCCTTCAAAAGGATTCATCCAATCGACCTCTGCTAGATCCTGCCTCATGGCTCCAAAATTGGCCCTGCTCCAGTTCAGCACCTTAACCTGTGGACCTGTCCTATCTTTTTCCATAACTATGTTAAAACTAAGAGAGTTATGGTCACTGGACCCAAAGTGCTTTCTGACTGACACTTCAGTCACTTGCCCGAACTTGGTTCCTAAGAGGAGGTCCAGTGCTGCACCTTCTGGCCCTCTGAGGAGAGGTCACCAGACCCGAAACGTTAACTTTTTTTTCCTTCACAGACCTGCTGGACATTTCCAGCAACTTTGTTTTTGTTCTTGTCAGGGCGCTCTACATTTATTGATTAGGAAACACTCTCAAGAGTTTCCGTTGCTGCTGTTAATCAGTGTGGACCCCACCATGTAGAGCAGTACATTGCCACTTTAAGGGGAAAGGGCGGCCGTCGCCCTTCCCAACATGGCGGCCCCCAACGAACTGCAGCCTTGGACCTTCTACAGTTGGCGGCCGGGGCCCGGAGACGGGGAATGGCGCTGAGGAGCTGTGGTTGGCGCTGGCTCCAGGCCCGAGGCCTGCGGGGGGCACAGGCCCCGGACCCCGTCCTCCGCTACATGGGCAAAGGCCGCAGGAAGAGCCGCGTGTTCGTCTGGGGATTCGCCCACACCGGGGCCCTGGGCCTCCCGCACCTGGTGCTGGGCCGCAGCGGAGGCCAGAAACCCCGGCAAATCCAACTGAGGCCGTGCGGAGTGGAGCTGGAACAGAGGGTGAGGGGCGGGGAAAGGAGGTCTTGTAGGATGGGGGTGACCGAGAGTGGAGTCAGGAGTCGTGGGGGGCCTGGGAGTGAGGGTAGGATGGAGTGGGGCCGAGGGGAGGCAGGGAAGTAGGTTGGTGTGGCTGGGAGTGAGGGTAGGATGGAGGGTAAGATGGTGGCGGAGGGGAGTGGGGGTAGGTTGGAGGGTAAGATGGTGGCGGAGGGGAGTGGGCGTAGGTTGGAGGGTAAGATGGTGGCGGAGGGGAGTGGGGTAGGTTGGTGTGGCTGGGAGTGAGGGTAGGTTGGAGGGTAAGATGGTGGCGGAGGGGAGTGGGGGGTAGGTTGGTGTGGCTGAAAGGGTTGCAGGAGTGGGATAGAGGGAAGGTGAGGGGGAGGGGGCGGTGGGGGGGAAGTGGGGATGAGGTGAGGAGGGTGCAGATGGAGGTGGATGGATGCAAGGGGGAGTTGGAATCTGAGTGGGGTTGGTGGTGGAGGGTTATGGAAGTTGGGGTGGTGGAAGCGTGGCTTGGGGACGACGGGAAAGTGGATGGGAAGGTGCTGGACATGAGAGAAGGTTGGTGAAGTGGACGGTGTGGAGAAGGGAATGTAGAAATGGGGTGGGTGTTGGTCAAGTGGGGTGGAGATGGTGGAGGAGTGAATCAAGGATTGGGATTGGGCCATGGACAGGAGAGTTGGGGGCAATGGGAGGGGTGGAATGGGGGAAAGAGTGGCGGAGAGGGAGTATGGGCATGTGGGGGGTGAGGGCAAGGCAGGAGATTGGAGGGATTGGGATGGTAGAGGGGTGATGCTATTAGAAGATGGTGATTCTGCTAAATGTACTTTCTGCAATCATGCTAGTTTTTTTTCTGATCAGTCTGTTTCTGGATGTTAGTACACAACTGTGGAGCAGTTGGGAGTTGTAATAGGTCCTTGTGGTACAGAATTAGGGAAATTACCATTGCATCACAACAGCACTGGGAACTGGGCTGTCTTTTAAGAAGCAATTCAGCTGGTGTTATGTTGTCAGTGATGTGAAATGTGATTGGATAGTTAAAGCAAAAGTTCATGTTTGCCAGTCTGGGATCAATTGAAAGACCACATTTTAGATAAACGCAAAATACTGCAGAAACTGGAGGGCTGAAATAAAAGCAGAAAGTGCTGGAGAGAGTTCAGAGTACTGTTTCTGTCTTCACATTATGCCAGACCTGCTGAGTTTCTCCAGCACTTTGTGTCTTACTTCAGATTGCATTTAGCATTTGCTTGGTAAGAACAAGTAAGGATTACTGATAACAACTTGCACTGTGCACTCTACTGCTTTGTTGGAAGCAGGATGATACAAATGGAACTTTGTTGTATTTTATCCTGTTCAGACTCCTGAATTGCAAAAATTCTTCCAAGCAAAATTGAGGTCCATTGTGAGACATTACTTCTGCTGGGAAACCGTAAACACCAAACAAATTACATAATTTTGCTAGTTGTACAAGTAATCAGAATTCTGCTTCGATTGGTTATTTATCATGATGAAGGTTTTTAGTTCTGAGAAAATAAATGTGCAGCACCTTCCACATACTAGCTACCTACTCTAAAGTAGAACAGAGACAACTTTCTTTTAGTTTTTGCGCTCTCTTTTCTTTGAGTGTAGGATAATGGACATGACCTGTGATGATCTGGCCTTGCCTTCCTCTGAACAAATTTCGTTTTTGACATGTAAACCTCAATCAACCGCAATTAGCTCCTTCAGTTATCTCATTGGGCAGTTTATTCCTCCTACCAAGACATTGTTCTGTAATCTCTGAAGGCTGGGGATGGATGAGCTGCTCAAGCTGAATCAAAATGACCTTCAGTGGTGTGTTCTTTGGCTTTGTGAGGCAAGCAATCTCTTTAGTCTCTCGTACCTCTCTGGGCATCCACAGCCAGATATTGTATTGAAAAACATTCTTAGCCTCTCCATATATTGAAGACTCTCAGTTGTGACCATACTCCATGTCATATATTAATTCTCCTAGGTGCAGGCACCTTAGAAGGTCACTCCATCCACATATACAAACCAATTGATTTTAGATCAGATTTTAAACCTTTTTCTCAAATGAAGATCATGTTCTCAGTTGGTCAACTGGAAACTCCTCCAACCCGAAATTATTAATTGACAGTCCTGTCCTCGTCTCCACACTGTCAAATCTTTCGTGACAGCTTCATTTGTTAAAAACATGGCATTGGTAAGAGAACTGATTATAATCTCTTTTTCTCTTAAACACATGAATTCATGCAAACGTCACAAGACAACATGATCATTTGTGGGTTAGGGGAGAGTGGGGGAAGATGGAGGGGAGAAATGGAAGGCAAGTGGAGAAGTTGAGAATGAGATGAGAGTGTGGAGAAGGTTTAGGGAGAGGCTTCTTTCAATGCTAAACTGGGAAGAGGGGCAGGAACGTAAGCAAGGGGTTGGTTTCAGCAGCCAACAACGCTGCTAAGTAACTGGTCAGTATTGTCTGTTGTTGGACTGGCTGTGGGGCCAGGAGATTGTGTTTAAATCTGATGATGAATTTGTGCCATTAGTTGTTGAAAAGTAAGTTTATCAAACCATTCCAAGATGCAAACATTCACGATGCAACCTTTGTGTGTTATTTTAACAGATCTCATCTGCGGCCTGTGGCTATGGGTTCACTTTATTGGCTTCACAAACCCGTGACATCACCAAGGTCTGGGGAATGGGCTTGAACAAAGATTCCCAGATTGGATTTCACCGGAGTCGGGCAGATAGGAGTGAGTTGCGGTGACCTTGAAATGGCAAATGTTCTGTGTTTAGTGTTCGCTTTTATTCCATTGGAGATTTATGTTTTGGGTTTGGAGTGTTGATTACCTCGAATGTGCAGCACAAGAGCGATGTGAACCTCCTCAGCCTGACTTTACCTCCTGTCAGCTTATCCTTAGATTCCTTTCTCTCATGTGCTTGTTAAGGTTCCCCCTTAAATGCATTTATTTGCTTCAACAGAATAAAGTTCACATTCCAACCATTCTGAGATAGAAGATTTCCTTGAAATCCATATTGCCGGCTCTTGTTTTGGTCTCTCACAAAAGTGGCTGCCCTCCTATGATCAGTCAGTGAACTGATGAATACTCTCCAGCAAGTCACGGTCAGTGTAAAAATCAGCAAACAACGTACCTGGGACTGAGCAAAGTAGCAGTCCATGCAGCCTTCTAGAACATTCCCTGTGATGTATGAAGCACAATGCAGTCATGTGGCCAGCCGACTGAGCAATTGACCATTTCCTTTGTGGCCGAGTCAGAGTTTTAATGCAATATTGATGGGCTACATCATGTGCATCAAAATCTGTAACTGTTGCTCACTATCCCTCAGTCAAACTGACCATAGTGGGTTCACTCGTATCCCTTTTTGTTCCTTATGTGTGCATTGAGTAAGGGGTCTCAAGGACTGAACACACCCTGACCTGTAACAGATCTGTACAGATGTACTTTTAACAGAAGTATGGATGTGACCTCCTTGGCAACTAACTGATGTGTACCAAACTCCTTTTAACATCCCAACGCATTGGGCAGGGAATAATGGTTCAATAATTCCACCAATTGTTCCAGATTATGGATAATCATTTCATTAGAATACCAGTCCCTATTACAGTACCTCCAGTAATTCCCTTTATAAAGAGTAACCAATGAGAAAACTAATCCTTAAACTCTAGGGCCTGAGTTCTTATCAGGAATTCTATGACAGTAGGTAAGACCAGTGGAGTCTAACCTGTGTGAATGTTTGAGCCGTGGGAGACTGTGTTGTGGGGTAATAGCATTTTGATTAAATCAAAACTAAGACCTTCAAATGCGAGAATGCATTTCTTTTGCTCCAGAAGCACATATTGTTACTCTACTGTTCTGAATCCTATTTCAGCGAAGGGCTATGAATTTGTCCTGGAACCATCACCAGTGCCGTTACCTCTGGAGAGGCCTCAGGAAACCCGTGTGATCCAGGTGTCATGTGGGAGAGCACATTCGCTACTGCTGACTGACAACGAAGGAGGTCTGTATCTTCTGTCTTCTTCAATTGTGTATAACAGGTTTCCTGCTCTCCATCATTCACCCTTAACCTGTGGTAGGTTGTTTTTATTTAGATGGTTGCAATTTTGCCAGTTGGTGGAAGAATAATCCTTGTGTAAATAAACTGAAGGTGTCACAACCTGAGCCTGTTCAACTACCTGTTTAAGGGGCAGTAGAGGTCAGTTTAGTTTCTGTTTGTTGCCACTGCAAACATGAGAGGAAGCACAGGGAAAGACTGCAGCCCATTGAGCACGTCTGAGATTATAATTCCAGTGATGACCTAACCAATCAGCACTCTGTTTTCGTGCTGTATTAAAACTGTGTCTCTTTTTTCAAGTCTTGAGTCCTAGTCCTGATGTATGAGATGAAAAGCATCAACTGCTTGTCTCCTTTTTTGCATTGTTTGATTTCTGTACTACCAACCAATTACATTTAAACTTCTGTCCATCCTCATTTACCCTTTCAAGAAGTAGTCAAAAACTTTACCTAGACCAGTTGTAGGATTACACATAACAGGAGGCCATTCAGCCCATTGTGCCCATAACAATTCTTTGAAAGTGTTGTCCGATTCGGCCCACTTTGCTGTTATTTTTTCCAGAGCCTTGTAGTTTATCTTCTGTTCATATACTGAACAATTTCCCTGTGCAAGTTCCAATTGAATTTGCTGTCCCTACCCTGTCAGGCAGCACATTAGTTAGCAGTATTAATGTTAGCAAGTTTCTTCCGTGTTTTGTCAAAGGTCTTGACATTCTTCCTAAAGTGTGGTGCCCTGTATTGTGTCACCAGCCAGTAATTTATAAATATTGAACATAGTTTCTTTGCTTTTGTTCTGTTTAGTTTGTTTGTAAAATCAAATGCTCATATATTCCTCCACAGCCTTCTCAACTTGTTATGTTGAATTGTGTATGTATAGTTGGACCTTTGTCTGTTCCGGCACTCCCTTTAAAATTCATTCATGTTGTCTCTCATCGTTACTCTGCCCAAAATGCATCACTTGATATTCTCTACATTAAATATAATTTCCTGTGTGTTTGCACATTTCACCAGTCTGTTCCCATCCACCTGAAATCTCTTATGTCTTCATTGTTCCTATGTTCCAAGTGTCTGGAGTCAGGCTCGCAAGCCTGTTGTTTGCTCCTATCTATGGGTTAATTTTGTGTTGCATTAGCTGTTTCCAATCCATGCTGCTTTTTTGTAAGTTTCACAAAGATTTTGTCAGCCACTTCTGTGTAAGACCATAAGAAATAGGAACAGGAGGAAGTGGTTTGGCCCCTCGAGTTTGCTCCTCCATTCCAATCCGATTGTGTCTGATCCAACATTCTTTGCATCCCTTTTCCTGCTTTTTGTCCATTACCCTCAATTCCCCTACTGATCAAGAATCTATCGATTTCAGCCTTAAATATACACAAGGACTTTGCTCCTACAGCTGTCTGTGGCAGGGAGTTCCAAAGAAGCTCAACCCTCTGAAAGGAGAAATTCATCCTGCTCTCAGTCTTAATATAGTACCCCTCAATTCTGAGAATATGCACTCTGGTCCTAGATGCTTCCATATTTACCTAGTCGAGTCCCTTAAGAATCCTTTATGTTTCAATGAGATCTCTTCTTATTCTTAATTTCATGAATAGAGTCCCAACCTGTTTAGCCTTTGCTCATAAGACAGTACATCCATACCAGGGATGGACCGAGTGAATCTTCTTTGAACTGTCTCCAGTGAAATCATAACTTTTCATAAATAAGGGAACAAAAATTGCTCACAGTTGTGCAGATGTGGTTTCATCAGCACCTTGTTCAATTACTGTAAGACTTCCCTCCTTTTATACGCCAATCCCTTTGAAATGAGCCAATATTTTATTATCCTTCCTAAATACCTGCTGCACCTGTGTGCTAGGTTTCTGTGTTTCATGCACAAGTCCTTCTAAGTGTTGTTGCTTTCTGCAGTTTGTCTCCATTTAAATCATACTATTCTTTTGTTCTCCTTTCCAAAATGAACAATTTCATGTTTTCCGACATATTCCATTTGCCAACATTTTGTCCACTTAGTTAACCTATCAATATGTCTCTAAACTATTTATATCCCTCTCACAATCTGCCTTTCCACATATTTTTGGGTTGGCTGTAAATTTGACTACAATACATTCACTTCCTTTCTGCAAGCTATTAATATATATTGTAAGCAGTTGTGGTCCCAGCACTGATCCTTGTGGAACCCTACTAGTTATAAGTTGCCAACCTGAAAAAGAGCCCCATATCCCCGCTCGCTGTTTCCTGCTATGAGCCAATTCTCTGTCCATACCAATATATTACCTCCAATACCTCATTTTATTACTTAACATTTTGTGAGATACCTTGTCGAATGCCTTCTTGGAAGTCCAAATATAATGCATCTACTGTTTACCTTATATCCACCCTGGTTGAGACTTCCTCAAAAAACTCTAATAAATTAGTCAGACATAATTTCCCTTTCATGAAGCCATTGTCAGCTTGAGTAGATTATGATTTTCCAAATGTGTTACCATTAGCTCCTTAAGAATTGATTGAAATGCTTTTTCACCAATAGATGTTAGGCTAATCTGCCTGCAGTTACCTGCTTTGTGCCCTTTCTGAATGGGTGTCACAATGGCAGTTTTCCAAACCTCTGGTACTTCACCAGAATCCAAAGATTTTTGGAAAATTACAGCCAATGCATTAATTATCTCTGTAGCTACCTCTTTTAAGATCCTAGGATGCAACTCACAAGGTGAGGGGACTTATCTGCCTTTAGCCCATTAGTTTGTCTAATACTACTTCTCTGGTAATGGTACTTAATTCCACCCACCTCCCCCCACTTTCTTCCTCCTGATTTCTCTCTTCCTTTTTATATATTTAAATAAACTTTTATGTTCAATTTTTATTTTCCTGTCTAGTTTGACCTCAATTATTTTTTTTATCTTAATTGTCTTTTAGTCCTCCTTTATGGGATTCTGCATTTATCCCAGTGTTGGGAGCTATCACCGACTTTTACCTCCGTATATGCTTTTTTTTCAACTTCATACTCTCCTTGACTTGCTTAGTTACCCATGATTGGTTTATCCTTTTCATATAATTTTTCCTCCTTAGTGGGATGTACTTTTGCTGAAAGTTCCAGTGTTTGTGGTTTTTCTACAAAATTGTTTCAAAGCACTAAATCTGTAAGGGATATATTTATTTCAAATTAAAGCAGTGACCCTGACCCAGTTATGGATATTATAGTTCAACACTCAGTCAACTCCTCTAGCCAGACTTGCACCAGGCTTGGGTACCGTTCAAATGTTTGGTCATTCAGGAAGGTGGGGTGAAGGAGTAGAGGTGAGGAAAAGACACTATGAAGGGAATTCCAGACATTACTGTCCAGAAGGTACAGCCACAAGTGGTGGTGATGGTAGTGGGAGTTGGAGGCCAAAGTCAGTAGTGCAAAATATGTAGGAGATGAGGCAATGGGGGGAGCAGGCGTAGTGGGAGGTGGTGCAGAGAAGGGATGTTGTAACATTGTAGTAATGCAGGTGATTACATATCTAGCGAAGTGTGGTGTCATGAGGAATTTAAATGTAAGAATGTTTGAAAGTCATTGTATTATTTAATAATGTGATAGAGGCCATAAGATGTAGGAGTAGAAGTGGACCATTCAGCCCTTCAAGTCTGCTCTGCCATTCACTGAGATCATAGCTGCTCTGATGATCCTCAACTCCACTCTCCAGCTTTTTCCCCGATAATCCTTGATTCCCTAAACTAAAACAAAGAACTGCAGATGCTGGAAATCTAAAACTGAATCAAAAATTGCTAGAGAAACTCAACAGATGTGGCAGCATTAGTGGATAGAGAAGCAGAATTAATGCTTTGAGAACAGTGACCCTTCTTCTGGCAGATCTGCTGCGTTTCTCCAGCAATTTGTTTTTGTTTGTGACCTTTATTTTCTTACTGATTAAAAGTCTGTCTGTCTAGCTTTGAACATACATAACAACCCAGCACCACCCCCATCCCTCTGCAGTAAAGAAGTCCACAGAGGCTCCCTTCTGAGAGGAAAAATATCTTGCTTGTCTCTGTCTTAAATGGGCGACCTCTTATTCTGACCTTATACCCTCTGGTCCTAGACTCTCCCACAGGGGAAACGATCCCTCCATGTCAAGACCCCAAGAATCTTATATGTTTCAATTAGGTTTTCTCTCATTCTCCTAAACTTCAATGAATACAAGACTAACCTACTGAACCCCCTCCTGTTTGACAGTCCCTCCAAGTTGCCATTGTGAAAATGCCCTCTTTATCCCAACTCTCTGTTTTCTATTAGTTAGCCAATCCTTTATCCATGCTGATATACAACCAGAACATCATGGGTTATTATAGTTTAAATAGCCTTGTGTATGGTACCTTATTAAAACCTTTTGGAAATCCAAATATATTACATCCACTGGTGTCTCCTGTATCTACCCTGCTTGTCACCGCCACAAAGAACCCTAATAAATTTGTCAGGCATGATTTCCTTTTCATGAAGCCATGCTGACTCTGCTTCATTTTATATTTATTTCTAAATGCTCTGCTCTTATATCCTTTACAATAGACTCTAGCATTTTGCCAATGACTGATGTCAAGCTAACTAGCCTTATTTTTAAAATCCCCGCTCTTTTTAATAAAAATGATACTGTGGGAGTTTACCAGTCCCCTAGGACTTTTCCTGAATCTGAGAATTCTTTGGAGATTGCTCACCTACTATCTCTGTAGCTACTTCCTTTAAAATTCCAGGATACAACCCATCAGGTCCAGGGGACTTATCAGCTTTTAGCTCCATTTGTTTCGCTTGTGCTTTTTTTTTCTGGTAAAACAGAGTACCCCTCTCCTTTCCTTGTTTTGTCCTGTTTAGAAATTGCATTTGCTAGCCCTGCCAGACATTGGTGCTTTCTGATGAAATTTTGGGAGCGGTTTTGGATTTGGTTTGTGTTTTTTCGCAGTTTTCAGTATGGGAAACAATGCCTATGGACAGTGTGGGAGAAGCATCGTGGACAATGAGATTTATAGGTAAGCTACCTTTTGGTCCTTAATCAGATCTAAAATGAAACTTGACTGGGTAAGGGTCAGCAGTCGGCTGAACTTTAATTAAATAGCAACAAATAGTGATAAACAGAAAATCTCTCAGAGGAGAGTGTAAGCGAAGAGGTCCCTTTGAATGATAACAGTCCATCATAGATACTCTGGGCAGTGCTAGGATTTAAGTGGTACAGTTAAAAAGACAAATCCAAAGTTAGGCTTTTTGGAAAGTAAGGGGGGACCTCATGCATATCTTGGGATTTTGTTAAGGTGAACAGTGTGTCTACAGCTTGGCAAGATAGGAAATGTAAATTAGGATTTAATAGGTAGGTTAGAAACACTTTTTATGTAGAGGATGGTCAGAATTGTGATTTTTTTTTTTCAGCGTGATATGTTTGTGTCTGTAAGTCCCTAAAGGAAATGAAATTGATTGCTAAAGGACATGGAAAATGAACAAGAGGCTGAGAGTAAGATATTAAGGTGTACAGGGAATGAATTAGAGATTCAGAGTTGCATTTGACTGGCTGGGACATTAAAGTGATTGGGGATTCAATTTGGCAGGAAAGCCTGACCAATAATGGAGGAGTGAGGTTGCTTGTGGAAGTTGTAGAGTTCGTCAGTATGAATGGGAGCAGTGAGTGCTGAGGGAATAGTGGTGGGAGTAGGCCAGTATGTGAGTGCTTTTGGAACAGGGAAATGGAGGGTTATCCGTGAGAACAAAATGGATGTGTTGTGTTTCTGGGAGCTGGTTGAAGAATGTCTTTAGGAGATAAATTTGGAGATTGGAGAAATGATCTGTCATGTCTGGTTCTGAATGTTCTATTTTCTACCACCAGTAATCTTCCAGTCAGTAGTTCCAACTCTGGCCACAGCTCCAACATTCAAGGAACCAATTACTTTTTCTAAATTCTGGAGTTCCCTGCATCAGCCACGAAACATAAGACAAACATGTGCATGATTTGTGCCTGCAGCCCTACTGTTAATACTTTATTTTGATGTTGATGATCGATGAGAGTGGCCCTCTCATCCTTTCTGCAGAAAACATTCTTCAGCTATACTGCGTACTGCACAATTGTATTAAAATAATCTGTGAAAGTGCATAAAGATGTGACTTATTGATTGATGATGCAACTGGCAGAGACCTCAAGTGAGTGTGCAACGTGTTGCCCCATTCTGCCCCTGCATTTACCTATTCCAAGGGGTCTTGCTATCTCTTAGTCAGGACCTTTTGCCCTGTGTTATGGCGGCACAGCTTGGTCTAAAGTGCAGATCAGTCTTTGACTGTACTTGTGTTGTGACTCTAGTTTACTTACCATGATATTTGTTATTTTTCCAGTGGCAGCCAAATTATTCACCGAATTGAAGATTTAGATGACAAAATTGTTGAGGTAAGGTCTAAATTTGTTAGAAAGTCCCAAGTGATTGTGAAAGATCACAAGAAGAATACTTTGAAACAGTCAATGGTTCTTTTTATTCAGTGACTAATTCGTGCAATTGCGTTCATAATTCCATCTCCTGCTTGACTCGGTGCACTGTTACAAGACTTCGCTTCTGAATGGCAAGTGGAGTGAGGATTCAGGATACGCATTCAAATTAAATACACTGCAGTTTGTTCAGTTGTGCAGCACTAGCAGCTCCTTTTCAGTGGCAATTTGTTAATTCTGATAATTACTCCCAGGACTTGGTTCACGCTCTTCTCAGTACCGTATGAGTCAGTCTGGAGTAAAGGGTCTCGTCCATTTCTCTAATTAAATTGGAGACTTTGTTGCATCTCTATATCTTCTCCCCATCCCTGCTGCAATTTATTCCCATGCACAGCTTCTTCAGACAGCTCATAAAATATTTATAAAGCTATAATTTAATGGAGTTTGAGCCACTTATTATCTTTCTTTTTCTTGTTACAACTGAGATTGGAGGAGTGCACTCATTTCTTTCTACTCCCAGTTCTCCACTGGCCAAAACAAATTTTAAATTTAATAAGGATAATATTAAAGTTGCCATAATCCAACTGGACTTTAGGGTTGCTCTCATTATAGAGAGACGACTGGTGGTGGTTTAACTTGAGGATCACCGCAGTTTTGGTGGGAATTGAACACACATTAAAACTAAGCCAATTAAATAGGTTTTAGACTGTATCCGGTTTCGTATTAGACAATTCAGCCTGGCTTAACAAAGAGTAACTAGTTTGTTACAAATCAGACTTAACAAACATACTAAGATTATTGACATTCAGGTTTAGACTGTTCATAGGAGAGTTATATTCTAACAATCCAAACTTAACATAAGGCAAATATGGTAACAGATGGTCAAGTGTCAACAGACCACATCAAATAGTAAATGTAATTAAACAAATCTCCCAAATTTCTCAGCATCCTTCCACTCACCTCCCGTCAGATTGTGGGTCACTATACCTCATTTAAGAAAAGAAAACAAAGAATTGCAGACGCTGGAAATCTGAAACAGAGCACGACTGGCAGCATTTGTTGGCAGAAAGCAGAGTTAATATTTTGGATCCAGTGACTCTATAGAACTGAGTTTTTCCAGAAATTTCTGTTTTTGTTTCAAATCTCATGAAAGTTTCACGAGATTATGATTTTTCATTTTTCATGAACTGACCTTGAAACTTGATCAAAAGCCACTTCATCATGAATTGTCTTAATGAGTGCTCTCACACTCTGGTTGTGTACTGTCCTTTCTGGAGACTACACTGCCTGGTTTCTGGAAACTGCAATTCAGCACTTACAGCCACAACAGCTTTTCACAAATACTGAGCTTAACCAAGCCAGTACTATGCCAAACACTAACCTAACTCAGTTGTACCAAGCACAGCTCTCTGGATTTCTTGGAGCCCTCATTACATGGAGATAATGAACTGCTGTAGGACTTCCCTGAGCCCCAACTATAGTTCAGTTGCCTTTAGCACAACTAAAAGCAGCCTTGCTGAACATGGAGTCATCTCTCTCTCTCATGTACTGACTTTGTCTTGCTGCCCGTCACCTTTTAAGTCTTTTTCTTATTGATTCATGGGATGTAGGTATTGCTGACTGAGGCAGCATTTATTGCCCATTCCTAGTTGCTCTTATGAACTGTGTCTTGAACCACTCATATACATTTGATGTAGGTGAAGCACAGTGCCATTAGAGAGGGGGTTCCAGGATTTTCATCCTGCAACAGTAAAGGAACAGTGATATATTTCCATGTTAGGATGCTGACTGGCTTTGAGAGGGACATGCAGTTAGTGGTGTTCCCATGTACCTGCTGCCCTTGTCCTTCTCAATGGCAGTGATGTTGGAAAGTGCTGTCGGAGGTGCCTTGAAGAATTTCTGCAGTTCATCTTGTAGGTGGTACACACAGCTGCTTAAGAGTGTTGGTGGTGAAGGGAGTGTATGGTGCCACAGCCGTGAAACAGTCAAGAAAGTTACTTTGTCCAGATGGTGTCAAGGTTCTTGAGTGTTGTTGGAACTGCAGTCATCCCAGGCAAGCGAGGAGTATTCTATCACACTCCTGACTTGTGACCTGCAGATGGTAGTCAGGCCTTGAGTCAGGAGTTACTTTCTGCAGGAATACTAACCTGTAATCTGTTCTTGTAACCACAATATTTATATGGCTTGTCAGGTTCAGTTTCTGATCAATTGTAACTGTCAGAACGTTGATAGTGGGGGAATCAGTGATGGTAATGCCACTGAATGTCAAACGGCAATGGTTATATTCTCTCTTGTTGGAAGTAGTTATTGCAGGACATTGTGTGGCATGAACTTTGCTTGCCAATTGTCAGTCCAAACCAGGTCTTGCTGTATTTCAGTGTGGACAACTTCAGGAATCGCAAATGGTGCTGGTCATTGATGAAGCAGCTGGAAATGGTTGGGCCTAGGATATAGCCCTGAGGAACTCTACGGAGATGTCCTGCAGCTGAGATGACTGATCTCCAACAACAACAACCATCTTCCTACGTGCCAAGTATACTCATGTCCGTGGAGAGATTTCACACGTATCCTGTTGACTTGAGTTTTACCAGGGCTCCTTAATACCATACTTAGTCAAATGTGACCTTGTCGTCAAAGGCTGTCAGCTCACCTCTGGAATTCAGCCCTTTTGTTTCCATGTTTGAACCAAAGCTGTAATGAGGAGAGGAGCTGAATGGCCCTGGCAGAACTCAAAATGAACGTCGCTGAGCGTGGTATTATGAGTAGGTGCTACTTGCTGACACCTTCCATTACTTTACTGATGATCAAGAGTAGACTGATGGGGTGGTAACTGGCCGGGTTGGATTGGTCCGGCTTTTAGTGTACAGGATGTACCTGGGCACTTTTCCACATTGTTTGCGTAGATGCCAGTGTTGTAGCTGTACTGGAACAGCTTGACCAGTGGCATAGCAAGATCTGGAGCACAAATTGTCAGTACTCTTACGGAAATGTTGTCTGGTCCTGTAGCATTTGAAGTATCTAGACCCTTCTGCTGTTTCTTGATATGAGCTGGAGTGAATTGAATTGGCTGAAAACTGGCAATTATCATCTTGGGGTCCTCTCAAGGATGCTGAGATCCACTGAAAGTTGTTGCCTTATCTTTTGCAATTATGTGCTAGGCTACCCCATTACTTAAGGTGGGATCTTTGAGGAGTCTTAAAACATTGGGATATGGCAGTGGGATAAATGGTTAATCAACAAAGTTGACAGTTATGTACCAGCAGTAACCCCATGTGGAGTTGATTGTGGACACTAAACCACAGGAAAAGTGCTCTCTCTAGAGAGCGCGACATTTTCCATTTTTCTGTGTGTCAATGATACAGGTTCACCAGAATGCTACCTGTATTATGATGACAGGTTGTATCATCTAGGTTTGTATTCCCTTGAATACAGCGAGTGAGGTAATATATTTACAGTGTGCAGAATGTCCAAAGGAATTGAATTTACAGACAGAAGGAAATTACTTTCTCTGGTAGAAGAGATTTACAACAATGGTATAACCTCAGAAAGAGAGCCTAGCTGTTCAAAGATGATTCCAAAAAGTACTTATTCACACATAAGCTAGTGAAACGAGCGAGCTATGAAGCTGTTACACTTGATGCCGACTGAAAGTATTGAAAGTTTGATTTTTTTTGATCGACAAGGAGCATTGAATTGTACAAATCAATCACCTTCTAATTTAAAGATGAAACAAGCTCAGGGCTGAATGGCATCCTGTTATTCCTAAATGATTGGTGTGTCAGAGAAATTGAGGTGAGGCAGCTCAGACCAGTAACAGTGAGGTGGGATGTCACTGGGCAGCTGAAGGCTAAAGGAAGCTGTAGTATTTAACTCAAAATATTAACATTAAAATCTCACTTTATCTATGCATAAACATCAGGCTGTGTATTCGTTTTGTTAACAAATGAACAAATTTGTTGGAGTTGGAATAAATCCCATGCAACATTCAATCACAAAAAGGGCAGTGCTTTAAGGATACGTGATGGATGATAGGTATTCAATAGGGATTCCTGATGCAGGGTTAAATTCTACTGACAACCATTAGAGGTTGGTTTTGCATGGTTGTCTTTACCACCTCGTAATTTATTTAGAAAATGATTAAAACTGGCAGACACTCGGATTTGATCTCCTGCTCATTTATCAAAGGTAATTTAAAGAAAAATAACACACATTGGGAGCAGTGGGAAACCTGAAGTGGCACTTTGATAGACAACTTTTACATACGAATGCTCATTCTAAATGCTTACAGTGCAAGTTTATACAGTGTAATTGTTACTCAAGAACTGTGAAAATAAGGAGCAAACATTTTAGTCAGCAAGTATCTTTTGTCATCCGTTTTCAATGAATTTATCTGACAATTAAAGCTGAGTTGTGAATGTCTGCAGTAAATTAAAAAGCGTATGGAAGTGTGACAGCTAAAGAAATGTTTTTGTTTGTAATCCTGGGTTCTCTGTAAGAAACCCATCACCCATTGAAGGTACAATCTTCAAACCCATGTTCTCTATCATTTGAGAAAATGAGGGTAGTGAACAAGGAAACACCAGTTCCTGTAAATTCCCCTATGAGCCACACATCATTATAACTTGGGAATAAATTGGCGGGAGGGTTCTGTTAGGTGGCTCTGTATCTCATTCTCAAGGGCACATAGGCTTAGGCACTAAATGGTTGACTTGAGGGTGATGCACTCATCTTGTGAATTAATTTTTAAAAATTAGAGAACTGAGCGCCTCTGATATGACCAATTACAAGATCTGGAGTAAGAAGCCAAAAAAATTTAAAATTAAAATGGAACTACAGGTAGAAGTAGCAAAGTTTTTAAAAAAAAACTTTAAATGTTTAAAAATTTTATTCTTTAGATATTGTTTGTTTGTATAATATAATGTAGTAATATGTATAGTGTAATACAGAAGTTCTGATGTGGTAGGATAAGCATTGTTTCTAGTTTGGAAGCTGTTCACACCATCAGCGTGCTGTTATTGATTTTCAGGTAACATGCGGACAGGATCACAGTCTCTTCAGAACAGAGAAGGGCGAGATCTATTCCTGTGGCTGGGGAGCCGACGGACAAACAGGTAAAGGGTCTGATAACGGTTTCTTCAGTTCTACAGCAACTTTTCCTTCTAGGATTCAGCTTAGAAGCTTGTGATAGTTTTGTAGAATTAATTATTTATTAACTTGTGGACAGATTTCTGGTGGCAGAACAAGTTGATGAGGCTGCTTCAAAGCAGAAGGGATTCTAGGCTTTAACAACAGAGGAATAAAATGCAAAAACAGTGACGTTACGGTGATTCTTTATAAAACATTGGTTAGGCTCTAATTTTGTCCAAATCTAGGCAGCATACATTAGGAAGGATGTCAGGATCCTCAAGAGTGTGGAAGAGTTTTATTAGAACAATATTCTTGATTTCAGGATGTTTATCCTTGTTTCTAAATCTTTCTACGACCTTAGCCCTCCCTATATCTGCAGTCTCTCTTAACCCCGCAAGCCCTGAGGTCTCTACGCTCCTCTGATTCTCACCTTTTGAGTATTTTAAGAGCTGCACCATTGACGATTGGGCCATCAAGTAGGTCCCAAGCTCTGAAATTCCCTCCCTATATTTGTTTCTCACCTCTACCTCACTTTGCCTCTTTACCACACTCCTTCAAACCATCTGTTTCTTCATGCTTTTGATCCTCTGTCCCAGTATCTTCTTATGTGACTTGTAGGTTTTATTATGCAGACAATGTAATATGTAGTATATTTAAAACATATTGTATCGGAGAGAGGGATGTAGTTATGTGAAAAATTTGGAGAAGCTGGGATTGATCTCTTTGGAGTAGTTTAATTGAGATATCCAAAATCACAAATGGTTTGGTTAAAGTAGGTAAGGAGGAACTATTTCCACCTAGTAGCAGAGAACTCAGAATTAAGACAATTGATAAGAGAGGAAGAGATGAAGTGAGGAAGATTGCTTTCACACAATGAGTTGAGATCTGGAATGTACCGTCTGAAAGGATGTGAAAGGAAGATTGACTGGCTACTTGATACAGCAGAATATCCTGTGACCTGATTAACACAAATTGGGCAGGATGAGAAAAAGCCATTTCAGACCAGTGAGTTAGCTCCACACCCCAAACAATATGCAGTTCACCACCTTCACAGATCATCAGAGGGATTACTGTTTAGAATTCCAGATATTTTCAGCAGCAGTCAGCTCTGGGGCAATCTTCCCATCTGTCTGCAGCACTTCGAGTTTGTAGAAGTGAGACTTTGAAGCCTGCTCCACCATTTAATATGATTATGGCTTTTCTGACCTTGGAATCAACTCCATGTTTTTGACTGTTCTCAATAATCCTCCATTCCTGTACAGTTCAAATATCTATCCACCTCTACCTTTTTAATAAATGCAATGACCCAGAGTTCCACAAATTCAAGATCCTCTGAAAGATGAAATTCCTTCTTATTGCTGCTTCAATGAGCAAACTCTTTCTTCTGAAACTGTGACCCTGGTTCTAGATTCTCCCATGAGGAGAACTATCCCTCAACACAAATCCTACCAATCCCACTCAGAGAGTCATAGAGATGTACTCTACGGAAACAGACCTTCGGTCCAACTCATCCATGCCAACCAGATATTCTAAATTAATCTAGTCCCATTAGCTAGCATTTGGCCCATATCCCTCTAAAACCTTCCTATTCATATAGTCACCAAGATGCCTTTTAAATGTTGTAATTGCACCAGCTGCCTCCTCCTCCTCTGACAGCTCATTCCATACACGCACCAACCTCTGTGTGAAAAGTTGCCCCTTAGGTCTCTTTTCAATCTTTTCCCTCTCACCTTAAACCCATGCCCTCTAGTTTTGGACTCCCACACCCTAGGGAAAACACCTTGACTATTCAACCTATCCATGCTCATCATGATATTTATAAATTTCTATAAAGTCACCTCTCAGCCTCTGACTCTCCAGGGAAAATAGCCCCAGCCCATTCAGCCTCTCCCTATAGCTCAAACCTTCCAACCCTGGCAAACCCTTGTAAATCTTTTCAGAGCCCTTTCAAATTTCAGAATCATACGCCAGGATCACCTCTCATTCTTCTAAATATCAGTATTAATCTAACCTTAGGAGTGGTACAGTCATTCACTGGTTAGCATTGCTGCCTCACAGTGCTAGGGACCTGGGTTCGATTCCACCCTTGGGCAATGTGTAAAGTTTGCACATTCTCCCTCTGTTTGCATGGGTTTCCTCTCGATGCTCTGGTTTCCTCCCACAGTCCAAAGAAGTGCAGGTTAGGTAGATTGGCCATGCTAATTTACCCATAGTGTCCGGCATGTGCAGTCTGGGTGGATTAGCCTTGGAGATGCAGGTTTACAGGGATAGGGTAGGGGGTGGTATTGGGTGGGATGCTGCTCAGAGGATTGATGTGGACTCATTGTGCCAAATGATCTACTTCCTTACTGTCCAAACTGCTCAAACCGTTTCCTCACAACAAAACCCTTTCATCCCAGGAAATGACATAACTGAAACCCCTACGATGTGCCTCCAATGCGAGTAAATCCCTCCTTAAATGAGAGGCTTGAAAAGACTGTACTCAGATCTCTAGTTGTGGTCTTGCAAACACTCTCTATAGTCATTGATTCCAAAAGAAATGAGTGTTGCCCCAGTATGGATCACTGCAACATTGTACCAGTTACAATTTGCAAACGTGAATATGATCTATTTATCCCATCTCTGTTTACTGTTAGTTAGCCAATCCTCTATCCATGCTAATGTTGTTACCTCCAACCTCATGAGCTCTTCTCTTCTATTGGTAACCTTCTATGTGACATCTTATCAAATGCTTATCAATTCGGCTGTACAGAGAGCTTTAAGAAACAGCAACAAATAAGGCCAAAGGGGAAGAAAGGGTTAAAAAGGCAAAATTAATGGCTGTCCTCCTACATGTATGTAATATTTAGAACAAAATAAGTGAATGACTCAAACAGAGATTAACAGGTATGGTTTTTTAGCCATGGCAGAGATTGAACCTGTGAACTAAATATTCAGGGGTATTTGACCTTTTGAAAGGATGGGCAGAAAAGAGGGATGGTAACGTGCTGTTAGTAGGAGATTGAATTAGTCAATTAGCAAGAAATTATCTAGGATCAGATGATAATTGAATCCATATAGGATCTGTAGGATAAATTATTAGGAGATAATGAAGTCATGCGAAAAAAGCAGTACATTAATCACGGGTAACCTCAGTTTTCATGTAGATTGGGAAATCAGTTTGGCACAGGTAGTCATGAGGAAGAATTCATAGAATGCCTTCTGGATTGTTTCCTAGAACCGTATGCTGTGGATCCAACAAGTGATTAGGCTGTTTTGGATCGGGTAATGTGTAAGAGCAGGTTTAATAAATGATTACAGAATAGAAGATCCACTAGGAACCAATGACCATAACATGGTAGAATTTCACATTGTGTTTGAGAGACTTTGTTTGGAAATAACTTGCCAAGCTTAAATGAGGGCAGAGTTTGCTGGAGTGGACTGGGAAAGGAGTTTAGCAGAAGACACAATTGATGAACAATGGTAGATGTTTCAAATAAAAGTTCATGACTCACAGCAAAGGTCCATCTCAGTGAGGAAGGGGGTTTCTAGGAAATGGATAAACCAACTGAGCAAGAATGTAGGATTTTAGGAACGGATAAATCAATTATGGTTAACCAAGAAAGTTAAGGGCAGAAACAGGAAAAAAAAGATACAGTTGGAAAAACTCGAACTGCTTCTAGAAGCGTCACTGGACTTGAAATGTTAGCACTGATTTCTCTCCACATTGCCAGACCTGCTGAGTTTCTCCAGGTGCCCATGTCCTGTGAATGAATAATAATTTTTAAAAAAGTATCCTGCCACCTTCATGGATGTGTGGACTAGCACCCCTAAATCCCTCTGTTCTTCTGAGCATGCTAATGTTCTGCAATTCATCAAGTACTCCCTTTTCTTGTTCTTTCTTCCAAAGTGCATCAATTCACACTGGTCCAGGTTAATTTCCGTCTGACTAATCAGTTTATGCCCTCCTGTAACCTAAGGACCTTCCTCCTCACTGCCAACCACCCAGGCAATCTTCGGGTCATCTCATCATCTGCCCACATAGAATCATACAGTACAGAAGATGTCCTTTGGCTGTACAGCCAAAAAATACGCTGCCACCTACACTAGACCTACTTTCCTATTCTAGGCTTTGAATGTTATGAGATTCCAATTACCTTTTAAAGGTTATGAGGTTTCCCACCTCAACTACCCTCCCTGATAGAAGTTGCAGGGTGGAAATGTCTAATACTAGAGGGCATGCATTTAAGCTGAGAGGGGTAAAGTTCAAAGGAAATGTAAGGGGTGGGTTTTTTTTAAACAGAGTGTTGGAACACGTTGCCAAGTGTGGTGTTGGAAGCAGATACGATAGGGGAATTTAAGGGGCATTTAGATAAGCACATGAATATGCAAGGAATGGAGGGATATGGACCAAGGGCAGGCAGAAGGGATTGGTTTAATTTGGCGTCATGTTTGGCACAACATAGTAGTCCGAAGGTCCTGTTCCTGTGCTGTACTGTTCTAAACAAAAACAATTCCAGACCCCCTTCTAGGTGAAAAATGTTTTCCACACAACCCCGTTAAAGCTCCTGCATTTCACTTTAGAATTATGCTCCCTTGTTATTGACCCTTTGACGAAGGGAAACAGCTGCTTTCTATCCACCCTGTTCATGTCCTTCATTATCTTATACGCCTCCATCAGGTACTACCTCAACTTACTCTAAAGAAAACTTCTTCAGGAAGGATGTTGGGCCTGGAGGGTTTGAGCAATAGGGAGAGGCTGAATAGTCTGGGGCTGTTTTCCCTGGAGCATCGGAGACTGAGGGGTCATCTTATACAGGTTTATAAAATCATGAGGGGCATGGATAGGGTAAATAGCTGGGGAAGTCCAAAAATAGGAAGTTTAATGTGGGAAGGGAAATATTTGAAAAGGACATAAGGGGCAACATTTTCACAGAGAGGGTGGTGGCTGTAAGTAACAAGCTGCCAGAGGAAGTGGTGAAGGTGGATACAATTACAAAATTTAAAGGCATCTGGGTATAAGGGTTTAGAGGGATATGGCCAAATGCTGGCAAATGGGACTAGTTCAGTTTGGGATGTCTGGTCAGCATGGGCGAGTTGGACTGAAGGGTCTGTTTCTGTGCTGTATGACTCTATAAAACAACTCAAGCTTATTCCACTTCTTCATAGCTGAAATGCTCCATCTTTGGCAACATCTGGTGAATCTCGTCTGCACCCCCTCCAGTGCAATCGCATTCTTCTTTTAGTGTGTGACCGGAACTGCACACAGTACTCCAGCTGTGGCCCAACCAAAGTTCCATACAGCTCCAACATAATGTTCCTGCTCTTAAAATATGTCATGACTGATAAAGGTAAGTGTCCCCTATGCCACCTTAACTACCCTATTAACCTGTACTGCCATTGTCAGAGACCTGTGGACAAGCACCCCAAAAACCCTCTGTTCTGCTGAGCTTCCTGGTGTCCTGCCATTTAATTGATACTCCCTTTACTTGTTATCTCTTCCGAAGTGCATCACCTCACGTTTATCAGGGTTACGTTTCATTTGCCACTGATCTGCCCACTTGCACATGCTGTTTAAAGCCTCCTGTAATGTAATACATTCCTCCACCCTTGTCTCCTTCCACTAAGCCTGTTTTAGATCCAAGTTGCCAATTTTCCCTCAATCCCTTCTTTATCAGTTTGTCATGCGGGAGCATGTCAAAGTATGCACACGCACGCGCGTACACGCACAACCCACCAGTTGCGCTCTCAGATGCCAGCTATTGGCTGAATCGTTTCCAGTGCTGTGATGTCTGTCCAACAAGTTAATTGGATGGATGCAAACCAGCAGCTCGTTGGGCTCAAAAGTTGGCCACTGAAATTGTATCAACTCTGATTTTAGTAGCTACCTACTCTTCACAAATGTTTTCCAGTTTTGTACAAGTCCATTTGCCAGTTTCTGCCTGGATTCAAACAATAAACCAGTCATCTGTCTTCAACTTATGACTTGTATTAACTTGAGTTATAGGGGTCTGACTTTTAATTATTGGGATCCACATCAAAATCTATTTCTGTGTGTTTGTGGTGATGTTTGTGACCACTGACCTACATCTTACTTTGGAATGATTGATAGTGAGGTTAAAAGGATGGGGTGATCACTTTTAGATACTAACTTTTGAACGGCTTTTGACAAAAAAGGTGTTTTACTGTCACATGGTTCACCCTATGAATCACATGAAGGGAAATATTCCTAACTAAAAGGGTAAGGGAGATTTGGACTTTGAGAGAATCAATGAATGATCCACGATGGAAAAGGTAGTTTCCCCAGCCAGTTCCTCCACATGAGTCGGTTTCTTAATCTGATAAGAATCCTTCATAGTAACTATCTCATTCTTTAACTTAGTCTTTGTATAAATGTTTTATAAATGATAGACTTCCCAAAAACATTGGGTTTGGCAGCACATTGACTCTGCCTCCTTCACCTTCTTCCCCCTTTTTCTTCAATGTGTTCTACTTGTTGGTCACACACAACCTGGTTAGCCCATTCCATATTACAGTCTGTAGCAGTAGACTGATTGGCCTGTAACTTCTGACCTCATCACTATTTGCTTTACTGAAGAACAGAATCACAAACTGACCAACTCCTATCTGAAAGATCATCTCTCCAGCTTCTTGGGTGGTAATCTGACAGTTCTGGAGAAATGTTCAGTAATTCCTTCAGCCGAATTCCTCTAAGTGATAACTTTTACAACATGTTCTCCGTTTGCAAATTTTGACACCTCTGCTCCAAAAGCTTTCGAATATTGTTACTATTTCTGAGCATACGCAAGTTCCTCTTCAACATTCTGCCTTGATGACCAGTATTTCTGTAGAAAGCTTGTTATTGCCTCTGCATAAAGAGTTAATTGTTTGTATTTGAAAACAAACAACACCTACTCTGTGATAGTAGGAACTGCAGATGCTGGAGAATCCGAGACAACAAGGTGCAGGGCTGGATGAACACAGCAGGCCAAGCAGCATCATAGGAGCAGAAAGGCTGACGTTTCGGGCCTAGACCTTTCATCAGGGAAGGGGGTTCTGAAATAAATAGGGAGAGAGTGGGAGGTGGATAGAAGATGGATAGAGGAGAGAATAGATGGGGAGGAAACAAACAGGTCGAAGAGGTGGGGATGGAGTCAGTAAAGGTGAGTGTAGGTGGGGAGTTAGGGAGGGGATAGGTCAGTCCAGGGAGGACGGACAGGTCAAGGGGGCGGGATGAGGTTAGTCAGTAGGAGATGGGGGTGCGGCTTGAGGTGGGAGGAGGGGATAGGTGGGAGGAAGAACAGGTTAGGGAGGCGGGGACGAGCTGGACTGGATTTGGGATGCGGTAGGGGGAGGGGAGATTTTGAAGCTTGTGAAATCCACATTGATACCATTGGGCTGCAGGGTTCCCAAGCGGAATATGAGTTGCTGTTCCTGCAACCTTCGGGTGGCATCGTTGTGGCACTGCAGGAGGCCCAGGATGGACATGTCGTCTGAGGAATGGGAGGGGGAGTTGAAATGGTTCGCGACTGGGAGGTGCAGTTGTTTATTGCAAACCGAGCATAGGTGTTCTGCAAAGCGGTCCCCGAGCCTCCGCTTGGTTTCCCCGATGTAGAGGAAGCCACAGCGGATGCAGTATACCACATTGGCAGATGTGCAGGTGAACATCTGCTTGATGTGGAAAGTCTTCTTGGGGCCTGGGATGGGGGTGAGGGAGGAGGTATGGGGGCAGGTGTAGCACTTCCTGCAGTTGCAGGGAAAAGTGCCGGGTGTGGTGGGGCTGGAGGGGAGTTGTCCCTCCGGAAAGCAGATAGGGGTGGGGAGGGAAAGATGTCTTTGGTGGTGGGGTCGTATTGCAGATGGCGGAAGTGTCGGAGGATGATGCGTTGGATCCGGAGGTTGGTGGGGTGGTACGTGAGGACGAGGGGGATTCTTTTTTGGTTCTTATTGCGTGGACGGGGTGTGAGGGATGAGTTGCGGGAGATGTGGGAGACACGGTTGAGGGCGTTCTCGACCTCTGAGGGGGGGGAAGTTACGGTCCTTGAAAAACAAGGACAACTGAGATGTACGGGAGTGGAATGCCTCATCCTGGGAGCAGATGCGGCGGAGGCGAAGGAATTGGGAATAGGGGATAGCATTTTTGCAGGAAGGTGGGTGGGAGGAGGAGTATTCTAGGTAGCTGTGGGAGTCGGTGGGCTTGAAATGAATATCGGTTTCTAGGTGGTTGCCCGATATGGAGACAGAGAGGTCCAGGAAGGGGAGAGAGGTATTAGAGATGGTCCAGGTAAACTTAAGGTTGGGGTGGAAGGTGTTGGTGAAGTGGATGAACTGTTCGAGGCGGCGCCGATACAGTCATCAATGTAACGGAGGAAGAGGTGGGGTTTAGGGCCGGTGTAGATACGGAAGAGGGATTGTTCCACATAACCTACAAAGACCTACTCTGTTACTTCTTTACTCAGGTCTTGGGGATTATGGTGTCACCTGTAAATTGACCAGGCTTGCAGGCGATATTGCTGGAGTCAATATTGTACAGACAGCAACATATGGAGACTTCTGTTTAGCCGTATCCAAAGATGGGGATCTGTTTGGCTGGGGCAACTCTGAGTATCTTCAGCTCTCTGCCGTTACTGAAGCCACACAGGTAAGTACGGGAGTCCGCTATCCAGAGAAAAACTTTGCGAAAGCATATACAGTGATGACTTAGCATCCTAACAGCAGCACAGAGTCATAGAGTCCTACAGCACAGAAACAGGCCCTTCAGTCCAAACGGGTCCATGCTGACCAAAACGTCCTTCCATGCTAACCCCTTTTCCCTGCACTTGGTCCATGTCCTTCTAAACCTTTCCTATCCATGTATTGGTCCAGATGCCTTTTAAATGTTGTTAATGTACCTGCCTCAACCGCTTCGCGTACCACCCTCTGTGTTTAAAAAAAAAATGTTGCCCCTCAGGTTGCCATGTATTCTTTCCCCTCTTACTTTAACCTGATGCACTCTAGTCTTTGATTCCCCAACCCTGGGAAAAAGACTGAGTGCATTCACCCTATTCATGCTTGTCATGATCTTGTACACTTCTATAAGATCCCCCCTCAGTCTCCTACGCTGTAAAGAAAAAGTCCTAGCTTGTCCAACCTCTCCCTGTAAATCAGTCCCTTGAGTCCTCGCAATATCCTTGTAAATTCCTTCTGCACGCTTTCCAGTTTAATAACATCCTTCCTATAGCAAGGTGACCAAAATTGAACACCATACTCTAAGTTCGGCCTCACCAATATCCTGTACAACTGCTACATAACTTCCCAACTTCTGTACTCAGTGCTTTAACTGATGAAGGCCAGTGTGCCAAAAGCCTTCATTTCCCTGTCTACCTGTGACTCCACTTTCAGAGAACCGTGCACCTGAACTCCAAGGTCCCTCTGTTCCACTACACTCCTTAAGGCCCTACCATTCACCATGAAACTCCTACATTGATTTGACTTTCCAAAATGCAACACTTAGCTATATTAAACTCCATTTGCATTTTCTCAGCTCACTCCCCCAGATGATTAAGATCCTGCTGCAATTTCTGATAACCTTCCTCACTATCCATGAAATCACCTATTTTAGTGTCATCCACAAACTTACTAAGTATGCCTTGTACATTCTCATCCAAATTATTGATATAGATAACAAACAGCAATGGCCCAGTACCGACCCATGAGGCACACCACTAGTCACAGGCCTCCAGTCCAACAAGCATCCTTCCACAGTTACTCTCAGCTTTCTACGTTCAAGCCAATTGTGTATCCAATTTGCCAGCTCTCCCTGGATTCCATACAATCTAACCTTCCAGAGCAGCCTACCATGTGGAACTTTAACAAAGGCCTTACTGAGATCCATGTAGACCACATCTACTGCCCTGACCTCATCAACCTTCCTGGTCACTTCATTAAAGAACTCTAACAAATTTGTGATGCATGATCTCCCACGCACGAAGCCATGCTAACAACAGCTAATCTAACCCTGTCTTTCTAAATGCATGTAAATCTTATCTCTCAGAATCTTCTGAAGTAACTTACCTACCAGAGATGTTAAGCATACTGGTCTATAACTCCCAGGTTTTTCTTTGCAGCCCTTGTTGAATAAAGGCACAGCACTTGCTACCCTCCTGTCTTCTGGGACCTCACCCATGGCTATCGATGATACAAAAATATCAGCCAGAGCCACCGCAATTTCTTCTGTAGCCTCTTGCAGGGTTCTTGGATATATCTGATCAGGACCAGGAGATTTATCCACCTTCATGCATTCTAATTCTTCCAGCACTGCCTCTACTGTGATATGGACTGTCCCCAAGATATCGCCACTAACTTCCCCAAGTTTTCATGTTTTTCTCCATGGTAAACACAGAGGAGCAATATTCATTGAGGACCTCGCCCATCTCCTGCAGTTCCGCACATTCTGGTCCACTTTGGTCCTTGAGGGGTCCTATTCTCTCTAGTTATTCTTTTTCCTTTAACGTATTTAAAGAATATCTTTGGATTCACCCTAATCTTCTCAGCCAAAGCTATCTCATACCCCCTTTTAACCCTGCTGATTTCATTGCTCAGTAAACTCCTGTATCCCCCTATACCACCAGGGAGTGGAGGTCTCTCTTCTCTTAATCTTTGCTCGAACACTCTGGGCTACCTGGTTTCAAAAGGAGAAATAATTCATTGGCACTCCGTAATAGATAAACAGGTGAACACGTGACTGGAACATGATGCAGGAGGGAGGTTTAGATTGGGAAATGGGGATCAGTTCTGGAGGTTATTGGACCTGTACATGCCTTTGGTTGAAGTTGAAACAGAGCTGGCACTTGGTTCTTTGTAGGGTGATTTGTTGGTGCTGTTGGGGAGGGTTTAAACTAACTCAACTGGATGTGGAAATTGGGTTGGGGTCAAAATCATTTTTCTTTCTAAGAGCTTTTCTCTAGATTTCTGGAGGGCTACCTTTTCATTCTGAACAATGGTAGGTGAGAAGCAGACATGTTATCTTCTATATTTGTGTTATCAAATTGGGTATTTGGACACCTAGGAGCAGCATTAGAAGAATTCATCAATATCCTCCATAATTGTCAATCCTCCATTAAATCCACAATACACAGGAAAGCTTATATTTATTGGACACCACAGTATTTACATTGGCTTAAGGTCACTGCCATAAGTTAGCAACAAAATGTTTTGTTCAATATCTGACGTGCACTTTGAGAAACACTTTAATTTTCAAAGAGCTCATTACCTGTGAATTCAGGAATTCCTGGCTCCCTTATTACTTTGTTGACAGGCTATCCTTGGCAGCAAGCCTCCCTCTCAGCTTTGCAGCAACTCGCTTTTTCCACTCCCCTTTCTCACCACCCCTTTCACCACCTCACCCTGTCGGCTCACTTCCCCCCACTACCTAAATAGAAATAGAAAACTATTGGGGAGGATTCGATATAAGAAGGAAAAAAGTGAAGTCTGCATCAGGATTACCCTGCATACGTTTGTTAGTGCATGGTCTGTGGTATTATAGAATAATGAGTTCCAGGTTCACAAAGCCACATGGCAAATTATGTTGTGAATGCAAAAATCTGGATCAGAAAAGGTTTTCTGGATATTAGCTGTTCAAGAAACAGGAAAGGAAGGGAAAGGGATACAATGGCTAGATTGACGAAGTAGAAATTGCAGAGCTAGAAAGAGAATGTTCCAAAGGGGTCAAGGGCAGAATCTATTTGGCTACAGCTAAGGAACAAAGAAGATGCCATTATTGCAGACTATATTTACAGTCTATAAAGGCCACCAACTACTAGGAAAGTTGTAGAGGAACATGTTTACATAGAAATAACAGAAATGTGCAAGAATTATCAACAAGTTATGATGGGCGACTTGAATTATTGCAAAGTAGACTTAGTAATAGAGTAAAGGGCAGAGGGAGGCAAGAGATCCTAGAATGTACTGAGTAGGATCTCTGCAGGAGTACAATGAGAAAGGTGGCACTGGCTGGACCTGGTTCACGGAATGAGATGGGCCAAGCAGATGAAGTGTCAATAGAGGAATATTTAGGGAACAGTAATCATGGTATCATAAGCTTGTGGGTTAAATATGGAAAAGGAGATGAAACAATCCAGAGCAAGGATAATTAACAGGGGGGCAATTCCATCTTCAATGGGGTAAGAATGAATCTTACCAAGGTAAATCCAAATCAAAGATTAGCAGGCAAAAAGTGTAATGGGATTGATGGAATGCCTTTAAAGAAGAGAGAGTTCAAGTACAGTTAAGTCACATTCCCATGAAGGGGAAAAGAAAGACAAACAAATCCAGAGCTTCCTAGGTGCTAGTAGAGTTAGAGAAGAACAAATGATCATATTACAGCTATGAGGTGAATGTAATACAGTGGAGAACCAAGCTGAATATGGAAAGTTCAAAGGGGGAATTGATATAGCAGATACAAGAAACAAAGAGAAAATATGAGACAGTTGACATAGAAGGGAATTCAAACTTTTGTATAACAATATATATATATTTTAAAAGGTGGTAAAAGGAGTGGGGCAGGTTAAGAATCAAAATAGGGATTTACACACACAGCCAGGGGACTTAACTGATGTATTAAAAGAATACTTTGTATCTGTTACTACCCTGGCCGCAGTGAAAGAGGAGGACATTCAGACAGTAGAAGGAATTGGAATTGATAAGGCGGTAACTGAGAAATGTGCAAAATCTCCCAACAAAGTGATTGTGACTTTCTTTCATTGCATGTTCTTGCAGGTGAATGTTCCAAAGCACCTTCCTTTTAAAGGAGTTGGAAAGATAAAGCAGGCAGCATGTGGTGGGACCCATGCTGCAATCCTTAACAGTGAGTCCTCATCCTTTTAACACAATGCTGTGTTCAGAATGTTTACTTTCCAGACCTCCTTAATTCCAACTGACAGTATTAGGTATCATTATGATTGTTTATCCATCTTTGAGTACATAGTGACCATTTATCCTGATGGTTATTAATTTCACTGTCCTAGGAGATGATTAGACATTGTAAGGACTACATAAATTTAATTTGGAAATAAGAAATGCAAAATGGTAGTTTGGATCAATTGTATTTTTTAACAACTGAAATCAAAATTACACCTCTGTAGTGATCACATATTGGGCAGTACGTAACTTTTTTGGATCAGTTGGATTTGGTATTTTTTGAGAGACTGACTGGTACCAAGTGTTTTTGGGTTGAAAGAAATCTGCTCAGCAAAAGCTCTTTAATTTCTTTAAGTTACAGTTTTCCACAGACCTGAGTGAACTCAGACTTCTAAAAACCTGAAAGCAAGCCCAATCTCTGTCTCTCTCTCTCTTTCTCCCCTTTTCCCCTCCCTCCCTCTGTGAGTGGAAGAATGCCAGCACCAAAACATCTGAAAAGAAGAATTTCTAACTCAACCAAAAATCTAGGTCCAACTAACCAGTTACTGCATTGAGGATCACCATGGTTGACAACACAGAGATATCATCACCAAAGATCAAAAAAAATGTGAGAAACTCACCTCATTCTATTCCTTTTTATTGGGACTCTTGACCCATAGGAATTCTTCCCTTTTGCCTGTGTTTTTCCACCCATAATATTTCAACAGAAATTTGTCTTGTGTATTGTATTTGTCAATGAATGTGTGTGTTTGAATTTAAATGGGATATAGTTTAAGTTTTGGGTAACAGTTAAGTTGCTGTAGTCCCAAAGGACCACAGGGCTGCATTCATAAGAGAGGGTTGACTGGTGGTGGTTTAGTTTGAAGGTCAGCACACCTCAGGCGGGACGAGAGAATGAGAAGGAGAGTCCTTCACGGTAACCTCAGCCAGTGCAGGAATTGACCCCACATTTTTGGTGGCACTCTGCATTGCAATCCAGCTGTCCAGCCAACAGGGTAAGGGAAAACCTAGTTAATAATGTGTGCTATTTGGTAACCATTACAGGAAACTTTTGACCATTAACCCTGTGGGCCATTTTGAGGTTCCAGCCTGAGCTACAGATCGTTCATTATATAGTGGGGTAGAGACATACATGGACGTGGTGAGGAGAAACGAAATACACATTGGCCAGAACCTGCCCCTAACCCAGTTCCTCCTGTTACAACCCCTAGATAGCCTTGTATTCAGAATCAAGGTTCCTATCCTGCTTGTGAAAAATATCTTGACAGTGTGATTTGTAATGAGACGGAATTAACTAATGGACTCATAGTAAAGGATCCTCTAGGTAAGTGTGAGCATAATGTGATAGAATTTTACATTCAGTTTGAGGGTAAGCATTGTAGATCTAATGCCTTACACTTGAATGAAGGAAGTTAAAAAGATATGAAACAGGGCCAATTAAAATGGGCTGGAAGACAGGTGAATAACTAAAGTGGGAGAGAAGCACTGCCATTAAGGAGATCCGTCATAACTCTCAATGATATATTCCATTGAAAAAAATGGTGGAGAGGAGCGCACTTCAGTTAATTAAATATGGTAAAAAATTGAAAGAAATGTTACAAAGATGAGGCAGTCGGACGAATGGGAAATTTTTAGAAGGTAGTGGTTGCCAGTGTTTATCCAGGATCGGTCATGGGGCATTTGGATAATGGGTGGGATCAGAGCAAGGTTGTGAGAAATCTAGACAAGGGGTGATTGAATGGGGGTGTGGACTGCAATGGAAGGAGCTTCCCTCTCACACCCCCCCACCCAAAAATCTTGCCACGGTCCCTATCTCCTGCCCTTCTCTCTCCCAATCTCTTCTAAAGTAATGAAGGCTAAGGAGTGATTTTAAGAAGGGGGCTGTTAAATGCACACGGTTAGTACATTTCACACGTGTAGTTGAGAGAAGGCACACCCAGAGAGAGAGCTATTGGAAATTTAATCCACCATGCAAGTTCATTGCACGGTAAGAGGTGCTTTTTGTTTTTTTTTTTGGTTTTATTCATAGGTTGGAAGGTCATTTTTTCAGGATTTATGGTTTGTAAGGCTTCAACTGAGTGGAGAAAAGGGAGTCCTGGTTTAACAGTTGTAGGTTCAGGGGTCTGCTAATTGGGAAAACAAATCAAAGCATGAACATCACAGGAACATGGTGTGTTGATTGGTTTATGTTTTTTCTTTAAGTGGTTTTTTTTGACAAAAGAGATTAATTGAGGAATGAGAAGAGTAAATGAAAGTCAGGGCCAATATAATAAAGAAATATAAATAAGCAAAGTAGGATAATGGAAATACAGTTAGTGTAAGGAACATAAGTGTTCTTACATGAGTGTAATGTTTTTAGGAAAGAAGGTTACTAACGGGCTTAAAATAATTCATTGCAAAAGAATCGCACCCATGATATGTTCCTTCTGTGCTATGTGGCAAATTATAGAATCATCAGTTGTCTCTGGTGAACATGTGTGGAGGAAGTGTGTCCAGCTGCAGTTACTGGTGAACAGTATTTTGGAGTTGGAGCTGTGGGTTAATTCACTGTGGAGCATCCAGAATGCTGAGAAAGTTGTGGATAGCAAGTTCAGTTAGGTGGCCAGACTGCACGTGCAGATTGAAGAGCAGACAGGGCATGGATGACCACCACTGAGTAGAGGAAGGCAGGTAGTGCAGGAGCCCCTGTGGTCATCTCCCTTTCTACAGATATTACTGTTTTGGACACTGCTGGGGGAGATGACTTTGAAGGGAAAAGCACTGGCAGCCAACTTCATTGCACCATGGGTGGATCTGCTACACAGGAGAGGAGGAAGAAGAACATAGAACAGTACAGCACAAGAACAGGCCCTTCAGCCCACAGTGTTTTGCCGAATATGATGCCAGATTAAACTGATGCCTTCTGCCTGTCCTTTGTCCATATCTTTGCATTCCTTGTATAATCATGTGGTTATCTAAAAGCCCCTGAAACACCCCTATCATATCTTCCTCCAACAGCACCCCTGGCCGCGCATTCCAGACTCCTACCACGCTCTGTGTAAAAACAAAAAAAAAAACTTGCCCCTCACATTTCTTTTCAACATTGCCCCTCTCACCTTAAATACATGTCCCCTAGAATTAGCCATTTCAACTCTGGGAAAAAGATAGAACATAGAACATTACAGCGCAGTACAGGCCCTTCGGCCCTCGATGTTGTGCCGACCTGTGAAACCAATCTGAAGCCCATCTAACCTAAACTATACCATTATCATCCAAATGTTTATCCAATGACGATTTAAGTGCCCTTAAAGTTGGCGAGTCTACTACTTTTGCAGGCAGGGCATTCC